TATCTATATATACTTCTCTCTATCTTTTCTCCCTCTCTTTTTTTCTCTATCTCTCTCTCTCTCTCTCTCTCTCTCTTTCTCAGAGGTCCCTCTCTCCGCGCTCTCTCTCTCCTCCTCCGTCTCCTGAGGTAAGATTGCTACGTGTTGTAAATGCACAGTTAAAGCACTGAATCTATGAGGCTAATGTAGCTAACAGAAGTCTTTAGTACACCAGTCAGTGAGCTGTAAACTGAGTTCATATTTTACTAGTGTATGTTTATGTATTGTCTCCAAACAAACACTGTATGGATCAGCGTGAATAATTTGTCTAATATGAACAAAAGAAATGTGTTCTGCATTCTGTAAAACTTGTCTAATGGAAACTGTGTGTCACGTAAGGCCTGAGTGTTGTAGTGTTGAATCAAGTCTTTGGGGACCCCCAGGTAGCCCACATTTTAACCCCTAATCCAGCTCCCAGCACACCTGAACGAGCCATTATAAACACTGAAAACACAAAAATATGAACCATGTGCTGTAGAGGACGCCGAGGACTTTGCTGGAAGATGCCGGACATGAAGCTGCATGATAACCTGCTGAACTGTGTATCTGTGTAGAACGCTGTGCTGAAGGACAGGGATTGGCTGGAGCAGAAATCCTCTGGAAGCTCCTCCCCCTCCACACTGCCACTGTGTAGGAGCAGCAGTGTGAGCAAAACTCAGCCCCAGCAGCAACACTTCCACAGACCAGGTGACGCACACCGACAAACACACACATGTTTTTGTTCATTGTCTGGATGTAGGGTCACACATATGCATTACTTATGTGAGCACGTATATGTGTGACCATAATATGTCCCATATGTGTTATATATATATGTAAGCAACTATATGTGATAATAATATACCCCATATGTGCTATATATACACCGATCAGGCATAACATTCTGACCACTTCCTCGTTTCTACGCTCATTGTCCATTTTATCAGCTCCACTTACTATATAGGTGCACTTTGTAGTTCTACAGTTACAGACTGTAGTCCATCTGTTTCTCTGCATACTTTGTTAGCGCCCTTTTACCCTGTTCTTCAGTGCTCAGGACCCCCATGGACCCTCACAGAGCAGGTACTATTTGGGTGGTGGATCATTCTCAGCACTGCAGTGAGACTGACGTGGTGGTGGTGTGTTAGTGTGTGTTGTGCTGGTCTGAGTGGATCAGACACAGCAGTGCTGCTGGAGTTTTTAAACACCTCAGTGTCACTGCTGGACTGAGAATAGTCCAGCAACCAAAAATATCCAGCCAACAGTTTCCTGTGGGCAGCGTCCTGTGACCACTGATGAAGGACTAGAGGATGACCAACACAAACTGTGCAGCAGCAGATGAGCTATCGTCTCTGACTTTACATCTACAAGGTGGACCGACAAGGTAGGAGTGTCTAATAGAGTGGACAGTGAGTGGACACAGTGTTTAAAAACTCCAGCAGCACTGCTGTGTCTGATCCACTCGTACCAGCGCAACACACACTAACACACCACCACCATGTCAGTGTCACTGCAGTGCTGAGAATGATTTACCATCCAAACAGTACCTGCTCTGTGAGGGTCCATGGGGGTCCTGACCACTGAAGAACAGGGTACAAAACAAACACAACAAATTTCCCTCTTTGACTGCATAATTTGGTGAAACCCTTTTTCCTTCTTTACAGATAACGGCACCAACATATACAAGAAGCCCCCTATATATAAACAAGGTAGGAGAAGAAACACAGGAATATTATGGGATTGCTTATCTGATGAAGAGTCCAATCAAAATGCTTGTTCTTCAGCCTCTTATACTGCAGGCTTATTATTCTATTATTAATCTTAAGACTTATTATTCATTAACTATTATGGACTAATCCATATCTGTTATGAATTTAGTGTGAAGTACTGAGTAACTACTATGTATTATTCAGGATCTACTATGAATTATTCAGGCAAATCCTGACCCCTGTCATATTGTTGATTTACCATCATATTTTAATATATTGCATGATGCATATTACAACTGCAATATGTATCAGTATAACTGCAACATTAGATTTTGTTCTTTTTGTGCAGGGGCACATGTGGGCATCCATGATTGTGAACTGTCATCATAAGAAGCGCATGTAGGATCTGATGCTGTTTGTGTTTTGTTTGTGTAGATGTATCGGGTCATATCCCCCACAGTAAGCACATTGAAGATCTGATTATTGAGTCGTCTCGGTTCCCCGGAGCTCAGCCGCCCGACCCCAACCAGCCTTCCAAGATCGAGACCGAGTACTGGCCCTGCCCTCCATCACTCGCTGTTATTGGTACACTCTCTTATTCACACTCTTCACTCTGTATATATCACTCTCTCACTCTCTCTGTAACTCTCTCTTATTCACTCTGTATGTCTGCATTCTTCACACTGAAAAAGTGTTGATTTGAATTTACTTCATTCAGATGTGTACACTGGATGTTGTTGTACCACCTTAATTCCCAAAAAAAGTTGGGACTGTGGGTAAAATGCAAATAAAAACAGAAATCAGTGATTTATAAATCTACTTTAACTGTGTTTGTATAAAAACAGGACAGCAACAAGATATGTAATGTTTTATCTTATCAAGTTCATTGTTTTTTTTAGACATACACACATTCAGAAAATTGATGCCTGCAACATGTTCCAAAAAACATGTACGGGAACAATTTAAGTACAGGAACTAAGACTAGAAACATTGTGAAATGTTCCAAAAACATTTTAAACTCTTATTCACCAGAGTACATTTTGGTTTGTCCATCTGAATTTACATGACCAAATCGTAAGGCAAATTATTCAGTAACTGCATGAAATAAATGTAAATTTTTATTTTATTTATTTATTTATTTATTTTAAAAGCTCCCCTCAAATTAACAGCACGTGTTTTATGATCACACATATTGCTATATGCTTACAATTTACTGCTGAAAGCCAAAAATCTTAGACGCTCTTTGTATTTCTTTATAAAAATAATGTTTACAGAGCAGATCACTGAAGAGACGCCATCTGTTTATAGTTTATAGCCCAGATTTGTGGAAAAATGGGTCGACTTTCAGTAGAAAAAAAAAATTATGAGATCAGCTTCGTTTATTATAAGGGTTTAAAATTACATCACCCGTCTATTTGACTGGAAAGAAGACAGACTGTGGTCTGACAAATTAACCTCTCAGGTTGTTTATGGAATTAATGGACATTGTGTTCTCCAGGCAAAGAAGAAAAGTCCAAAATCCAGCATGTGTCATGATGTAGGGGAGGTATTATTGGGTAACCTGCACATCTGTGAAAGAACCATTAACACTGAGCACATTTTGGAGCAACATATGCTGCCTTTTAGACGTCGTCTTTTTCAGGGATGTCCATGATTATTTCAATATAACAAAAACAAGACACATTCTGCATGTGTTACAACAGCGTGGCTGCATATTCAGAGAGTGCTAGTGCTAAACTGACCTGCCTGCAGTTCATAACTGTCTCCCATTGAAAAAGTGTCATGCATTATGAAGTACAAATTATGACTTTTTGAAATCCATTTTTGGTGTCTTCAGTGCCCAAACGATTGAGTGCTGTTAAAGGAAAGGTGGTGTAACACAGAGGTAAACATGCTCCTGTCCCAACTTTTTTGGTATGTGTTGCACGCATCAAATTTGGAATGAACATATATATTTACATTTATATTTAAAATAAAACACCAATTATTGTTTTTTTGTTCTGTTTTCTAGTTTAAAACAGGTCAAACAGAATTTACTAATTACTTCTTCCTGTTTTTATTAGTATTTCACACACTGTCCCAATTTTTTTTGGAATTGGATTTGTACTATTCAGTGTTTTATTCATGTGGAACCAATAATTCAATGTTTTTTTCTCTCTTAAACTCTCCTTTGTTCATTATTTCATACATTTTACTATCCTCTGTTTTCTTTAATCTACCACCATCATCTTTTTATCCTCCCTTTAAAGCGATAGTTCGACAAAAAATCAAATTTGCCCAGATTTCCACCTTACAGCAAAATGTAGACGTTTGGTGTTTTGCTTCTTTAGGTTTGCGCTGGAGCTACGAGGCTAATGTGGCTAACCAGTAATGGAAGCTTATGCCCCACCTGTTAGCGTGGTGCTAGCTGCATGCTAAAATCTCACCTCAGACACAGCACAGTATTACAGTATGTGACAGTGTGTGGCACACTCGTCTACAACCATGGACAAGAGACAAAATTCAGGTTTCAGTACAGCTGCTACTGTTTGTAGCTGTGCTAACATACTTTAGTCCATGTTTATAGATATCAGTGAGTCATACAGAGCCAGAAACCACATATTCAGGTCTATTAGAGACACTGAACACCTACACATGGTTTGATGTGAGTGAAGATTTAGACATGCAGTTAGCATCATGCTAATTATAAGCTGTTATTACTAGCTGCATAAGCCTAGTAGCTAGAGCTGGGCGATAAGAAAACTATTTTTTATTTTAGCTGTCTGGTGATGAGCGCTAGGCTATGCTAAACTGTTTAGCTTCTCAACAAAGTCAGTTTAGTATGAACAGCAAACATTAGCTGGCTTGGTAGGTCAGTGATGGATCACACCGCCTTATTGCCATCCGCTCTTACCACATAACATATCACAGACACCAGCTAGCAGACGACTGGGTTTCTTTATTCTGTCGTAGTAGTTTGAGGGGTGAACTGCAATATATCAACACCAGACAAACAGAGTCCTCCTTTTAGATATGTTTAAACTGAAATCACTCCTTATTTGTCTTGTTTGATCTACAGTATCATCAGTTCGCCGTGTTTTGTGAGTGACAGTGCGCTGCTTCAAGTTAGCCAGCTGCTAAAAACAACTAGCCTGGGAAGATAGCGCTCTCCCACTCTCCAATGCCTCACAGCTTCCTCAGTTTACTTTTGTTTAAATCAGGGCTGTAATTTACATTAACTCACTTCTTTCTTTCACTTTCATTGCTTGGGAACGCACTAATACTCAAATATGACTGAGCGCTGTAACAGTGCTGTAGTTGTGAGGAGCAGACGTGATTTAACGCTGCTAAAGCTGGTTAGGATGGTAGTAAAAAGGTGAGTTCACTGTAGGACAGTACAGTCACGCCACTGATCTCCTCACTCACACTCGGTCACAGGAGAACAGATCGCTGATCGCTCCACTCAGACAGGGAATGTATAACTCCACATTTCAGACGTTACTAAAGTATATTTGACTCATTTTACTCACCACCCCCCCCCCAGTCATGTCGAAAAACTGAGAAGTGCGCCCTCTCGTGGCAAAAGCTGAGTAGTGTCGCTTTCCTTGCAGTAGAAAACGCCACGTCTGACGCTGAACGTGGAAGTGTGATAATGGTCTGTTATATCGAGCATTTATCAAACGTTTCTTATAGTTCTATCGAGGAAAGTTATATGGCGATAATTATCGTTATCATTTTAGTGCCCAGCTCCACTTGCAGCGCCTATGGAAAAACATAGAAGTAAACATCAGACAACAAACATGTCTTGGCTGATCAAGTGCATTTGGAGTAAGGAGCTTTAACCCTTAATCACCCTCGAAGACTCACCCCACCGCGCTGTTTGTATTTCAGAGACAGAGTGGAAGAAGAAGGCTGCGTCTCAGAAAGCTGAAGGAGAGGATGACGAGGATGAGGATGAGTATGATGAAGGAGATCTGTCGGATGACATGTGGAGACTCAGACAGATGCAGAAACAGGAGCTCAACAAGGTAATGATGATTAAACAGCTGGTGAGAAGTCATCTTCACTTAAAGGGGAATTCCGGCCTAAAGCTATAGCTTTATGTCATTTGTTGTGTTGTGCAGTTTTCCCTCATTTGTTGTGTTGTTCACTGTATCCCTCAGCCTCATCGGCCCGATAGAATTCACGATTTTTTCCGTGTTTCCATTCATCAATGCTCTCTCACTACAATACCCAGCATGCATCATACAGCCACTGAGAATCCCTGTGGTGTCAATCAATCGTGACTGCTAGCCAAGCCACTGAGTGCGCTTACAAGCACTTAATAATCCGATAACTGCAGAAAATCAGATTTTGTCAGTAATCCGATCAGCACATTTATATGCTCTTGAGTAATCAGATAATGGGGAAACTGAGTCAGGCAGTAATCAGATTTCTGCTTTACAACCACCCAATAAACTCATGGAAGATGATGTGACGTAAATGTAACGTAAAACTCAAACTCCGTGCTGCGGCTTTTTATTAAAAACATTCATTTCGTCAAGCATGTATGGGAGGCAAATCCGGCCAAAAAAGAAATTAAAATTAAAACAATAAAATATAAATGCAAACCTTTTTTGTCATTTCTTTTTCCAAACATCTACGCAAATATCCTGCCAAAATTGAAAATGTAATGAAATTTCAAATTTTCACATAAGCACGAGTCATTCGTGACAAAAATAAAAATAAATGCAAAACAGCTGCTTGTCATTTCATTTTAGTCGTTATTCTGGTTTTCCATGGCCAAATCTAAAATGAAAAAGCTAACAGAGAAAAGAAAATCCAAGCTTCACTTTGGCTTTTCTTCATGAAATGCAGAATGCGTGTCAAAACTAAAATCAGAATGCAACGTTTACAATTTTATTTCTTTTTCATAACAATCGGCTGCATGTCTGACAGAATGAAAATGAAAATGCAAAACTGATAAATCAACAGCAAAGTGACAGTTAGTGATTCAGTTTTCAGCGCGGATGCGCTTTAAGTGTCGGAATGCAAAAGGCAAATGCAAACAAACATCGACACCAAATATACGTTAATTAGCATTAGGTGGGGCTCCGGGCAACATTTTAGGACATCCTCAGACCCATAAGCATGTAGTCGGTTTCAGTGTCGCTCCAAATTTTTTTTCAGTCAGGCTCAGAGTAAGTGTTCACATGCACTGAGAAATCTGATAACTGAGCTAAAATCCAGCCTCTTTATCAGATTTCTAAACTTTATTCTGATCTAGGAAATCAGACTGTGCTGTTTACATGACCACTTGAATAATCAGATAACTGCAGAAATCCGATTGTGATCGGATTACTGAGTGCATGCAAACACGCTCACTGATCTATAGACCAGTAAATACAGGCTAGCACAGGAACGTGGGAAGGTATGGGGGTGCTGAAATTTTAAGCAGCTTATATGTGATGTCATTGATGACATCATACAAAATTATTTGCATTTTTTTCCGTTTGAATTTTTTTGATAATTTACATGAAACAGAATGTGTCATGCTGCACTATAATGAGGCGAGAGACGACAGTATATACATATAACACATCAGACCCCTGATGCACATCTCTCACTCTGGACGAACTGCAGATTAACTAACTGGTGACCAATCAGGTTGTTGAAATGTAGTGTGGTAACCAGTTTGTCACAGTCACACGGTGAGAACACACACTGAGCTGGAGATATAATGGCTGATAAAACGTTATTATTATGTTAGATCATATTTTTACATTTAAAACATGCAGTATTATGTTTTAAATGTAAAAATGTAAACAGTATTAGGCTGCTTTGGGGTCCAGAACTGGCCTCTTTGACCCCCAACCCGCGTGTATTTTAGCGACAGATACAGCCAGCTGTTATTGAGGGAAGCGAGTTTACTGTAGATTTTGAAAATATGTAAATAAAAGGAGAAAAATATGAACTCCTCTGTAAAAAAAGCACAAATGAGTCTTTGCTATTCTCAAATTACTAAACAGTTCAGATCTCTGTATTATTATTGTTGCTTTTATCAGCTTCAGTCCTGAAATCTGGGGGTGCTGTGATCACCTGGCACCCCCGCATCTCTGGGCTAGCATTAGTGCAGATCTTATCTCAGTTATCAAATTAATAGCTTTGTTCTTCGTTAAAGACACAGTTCATTTGAAGAATGCTTGTGGAGTGCAGTGTACCTGGCAGCAATGTTTACTATCTGCCTTCTTTTTGCACTCACCAGATTATGAAAAAAATCATTAATCATTAAATTCATTAAAAAAGGTTTGCATAGTCTTTAAACTGGAATATCTCACTCTAGAGAGCGCTGCATTTCCGCTAAAGGAGGTGACTGAGCACATCTGCAACAGATGCAGTGATGGTTAGATTTGTAATTTTGGGTGGAGTGTCCCTTTGAAGGGATAATTCATTAAAGAAATCTAATGCCCCTGAATAGTTTAATGTTTTGAGCATGATTAGTTAATTTAAAATGAAGAAATCCATATATCTTTATAAGATATTACATCTGCTGTAATATTAACAAAAACATCCCGGAGCCTGGAGCCGTGTGGGGGTCACTGCATTCTGGCTCTCCAGCCTTATAGACTCTCACTCGACCTTCAGCTGAAGGCCACAGTGTGGGTCAGATTACCCACAGTCCTCTGGGGTTCTTACATATCTCGCTGAAACTGAAAATCAAGACGATCAGTCTTTTAGTCTCGGATTCAGTTTCTAACTCTCTCTCTCTCTCTCTCTCTCTCTCTCTCTCTCTCTCTCTCTCTCTCTCTGTCTTTCTTTCTTTCCTGTCTCACTCTCTCTCTCTCTCTGTCTTTATTTTCTGTCTCTCTCTCTCTCTCTCTCTCTCTCTCTCTTCTCTCTCTCTGTCTTTCTTTCCTGTCTCTCTGTCTCTTTGTCTTTCTTTCCTCCCTCTCTCTCTCTCTCTCTCTCTCTCTCTCTCTCTCTGTCTTTCTTTCCTGTCCCTCTCTGTCTCTCTGTCTCTCTCTGTCTTTCTTTTGTCTCTCTCTCTCTCTCTCTCTCTCTCTCTCTCAGATTCAGTCTAATCTGGGGAAGCTGATACTGAAGGAGGAGATGGAGAGAGAGGTTCCAGTTCGGAGGAAAACACGTTCTCTGCCGGACCGGACGTACGGACACCTGGGTGAGCGTTCGTGTACGATACCGATCAAAAGTCTGTAATCACTTATAATCAATTTATACACTAATAACCTTTACAGTGTAATTGCAAATGTTCTAAAATCTGATTGGCTGATCCACATTTGAAGCCGCTGTAAAGACGTCGTTATACACACACCCTGGATTCTGCATTAATGCATAATGAGTTATTAAAAACTCTCATCATCAACTCTGAGTGTTGTGTTGCTTGGCAACCACTGCTAATTGTTTGTTAAAAGTACTGTTGATAATTAAATTTTAGAAAATTCTCAAATTTTTATCACCACTTTTAAGATTTCACATACCATATGTAGAATGCTATTCTTCGGTATTATATTATGTTATGTTATGTTATGTTATGTTATGTTGTGTTATGTTATATGTTATGTAATATTATATTATATTATATTGTGTTATTATGTTGTGTTATGCTGTGAGATTTGTATATAATAAATACTTTCGACTCCAGATGAGAACAGCAGTGTGTGTGAAAGTGTGTTTCACTCTTTCCTATAAACAGTCCAGTGTCAGTCAGTCCTCACTGTCAGGATGCTGAATGGAAGCTGATGTGACAGTGAGAAACGTTCAGTTACAGCTGCTGTCGTTGATAATCAATCATAAATCCAGCTGCATCTCCCTCTTTTAATTCTGCACAAAGCTTTCGGGTTTATTTTTTTAAGAAAACATAAACGCAGTTTCACTGTTTACTGCCTCTTTCTGTCCCAGCTGCTGTGGTGCCTGACTAACAGTGACCCCTAGTGGCGACGAGAAAACTCACCTTGTTTGGACAGCAATGGCCAGACATTCCACAATCAAATAAATAAATAATTTAATAATTCACCGAGATACTGAATACTTCATGATGAATAATTACTTTTATCATAAATCTGCAGTTTTAAGGAGTTAAATAATGGATTGGTGTGTGTTTAATTGATCATGTTTTGTGATTTTTATTATATTTATATATTAAAGATTTTTGTTTTGTTCACACAGGACCCAAATCTCCTTCATTCCCTAACTACAGCCGCAGCGGTCTGACCAGGGTGAGTGGACACAGGCACACAAAAAACAGAACATTACTTAAATACTATTTTAATTTAATTTAATCTGTTTTAATGGTGTTTTCTGCTTCAGCTCCAGTCTGCAGAGTTTTCATCATCACACAGTGATAAAGCCTGTCAGAGTAAGCTGTTCAGTTCTATTCTGTTCTGTTCTGTTTTATTCTGTCGTGTTCTACTCTATTCTATTCTGTTCCTTTCTATTCTATCCTATTCTGTTCTCTGGTGTTCTACTCTATTCTGTTCTGTTCTATTGTGTTTATTCTGTTCTACTCTATTCTGGTCTGTTCTATTTTCTTCTACTGTATTCTATTCTACTCTATTCTGGTCTGTTCTATTGTATTTATTCTATTCTACTCTATTCTGGTCTGTTCTATTGTGTTCTATTCTACTCTATTCTGTTCTGTTCTATTGTATTTATTCTATTCTACTCTATTCTGATCTGTTCTATTGTGTTCTATTCTACTCTATTCTGTTCTGTTCTATTGTATTTATTCTATTCTACTCTATTCTGTTCTGTTCTATAGTGTTCTATTCTATTCTATTCTACTCTATTTTTTCTGTTCTGTTGTGTTCTACTCTATTGTGTTATCTGATGTTGTACTGTATTCTGTTCTACTCTAATTTGTTTTACTCCTTTCTGGTCTACTCTGTTCTGTTCTATTGTGTTCTACTCTATTCTATTCTACTCTATTGTCTTCTATAGTGTTCTATTCTATTCTACTCTACTCTGTTCTACTCTATTCTATTCTGTTCTCTGATGTTCCACTCTATTCTATTCTACTCTATTCTGTTCTACTCCATTCTGTTCTTTTCTCTGATGTTCCACTCTATTTTATTCTATTCTATTCTATTCTTTTCTGTAGTGTTCTACTCTATTCTGTTCTGTTTTCTGATGTTCTACTCTATTCTTTTCTTTCTCTTCTATTCTACTCTATTCTCTGATGTTCCACTCTATCCTATTCTACTCTATTCTGTTCTACTCCATTCTTTTCTGTTCTATGTTGTACTCTATTTTATTCTATTCTATTGTACTCTATTCCATTCTGTAGTGTTCTGCTCTATTCTATTCTTTCTGTTCTATTCTAATCTATTCTATTCTTCTCTCATTCTAGTCTACTCTATTCTATTATGCTCTATTGTGTTCTACTTTATTCTACTCTGTTCTGTTCTATTGTACTTTGTTCTGCTCTATTATATTCTGTTATTCTGTTCTCTATTATATACATCTGTTATACATTTTTATTTTTATTCCTCTATTCTATTATATTCTGTTTTTATACTCTATTCTGTTCTTTAATGTTCTGTTATGTTGTAGTTTTTAAATCTAAATTCTATGCGTTTTACACTGTAATATGTACAGTATCACTGCTTATTATTCTGTCTATTATTACTCATATTAATTACATCCATTTTCTTCTTCCTCTACAGATTTACAGGTAAGATTGTTTTTACTTGCCACACTTTAATCATGTATCCACGCAGCATCTCTAACACACAAAATACATACGAAAAATCAGTGTGTTTGTGTATCGTTGCTGTAGAAAGACACCTTTAATCTATAACATGCTGAGTTTATAGTAGGTGGAAAAGCTGTCTTAACTTTATGTACGTTAATGTAAAGGAATTTAGCTGTAGGTCATTTTCTAGCGTTTCTGTTGGTCTATTCAGCATGAAACGTTCACACAGTGTAAAGGACAGCTGGTGTGTTTGAATGATGATGAAATAAGAAAAGGAGTTACAGAGTTTTGTCATGGCAGTGATGATGCTCTCATACATACAAGCTCAGCTGTTTTCCTTCTGCCGTGTGTAATTCACTCTGACTGTGTGTGTGTGTGTGTGTGTGCGGTTCAGAATGGGGATGCTCAGGGCCGCAGGATGGACAGAGGAAACTCTCTGCCCACCATGCTGGAGCACAAGGTGAGAAACACGTCTCATTATACTGAATATGATCAAATACACTGATCACGCATAACATGTGTTAGTGTGTGTTGTGCTGGTACGAGTAGATCAGACACAGCAGTGCTGCTGGAGTTTTTAAACACTGTGTCCACTCACTGTCCACTCTATTAGACACTCCTACCTTGTCGGTCCACCTTGTAGATGTAAAGTCAGAGACGATAGCTCATCTGCTGCTGCACAGTTTGTGTTGGTCATCCTCTAGTCCTTCATCAGTGGTCACAGGACGCTGCCCACAGGACGCTGTTGGCTGGATATTTTTGGTTGGTGGACTATTCTCAGTCCAGCAGTGACACTGAGGTGTTTAAAAACTCCAGCAGAACTGCTGTGTCTGATCCACTCAGCCCAGCACAACACACACTAACACACCACCACCACGTCAGTTACTGCAGTGCTGAGAATGATCCACCACCCAAATAGTACCTGCTCTGTGAGGGTCCATGGGGGTCCTGAGCACTGAAGAACAGGGTAAAAGGGGGCTAACAAAGTATCAGAGAAACAGATGGACTACAGTCTGTAACTGTAGAACTACAAAGTGCACCTATATAGTAAGTGGAGCTGATAAAATGGACAGTGAGCGTAGAAACAAGGAGGTGGTCATGATGTTATGCCTGATCGGTGTTTATATACATTGAGTATGTACATTATAATGATATAACACAGTGCTGTGCTGAGTCTTTGTTTCCTTTGGCAGATTTATCCCTATGAGATGCTGGTCGTGACTCACCGGGGCAGAAGTAAACTCCCACCCGGAGTGGACAGGATGAGGCTGGAGGTACAACACAAACAGATGTGTTAGACGCTCTTTCTCCAGCAGGGGGCAGCACTGACCGATGTCGTTCTTTTCTCAGAGGCACCTGTCGGCGGAGGAGTTTAAGAATCTGTTCGGAATGACGATGGAGGAGTTCGATCGGCTCTCCCTGTGGAAGAGGAACGACTTGAAGAAGAAGGTCTCGCTCTTCTAGCACTGAGAACACTGAGGGGAAAAAAATAACTAATAAAAAAGAAAAAAAAATCACGTAACTGCACTTCTGCTTGGGACAGCGTGAAGAAGACGACGAGAAACTGACTGGACGAGGGACGTGACGCTTGGTGGACATTTTGGGGTCCGACTGCATCCCAGACATCTCAGCATGTCAGAACCCTTGATGTCACGTCTCTGGTCACAGCTACTAAACGAGCAGTCGACTGGATTTGAATGCGGGACGCTGACAGAGATAGCTTGATGCTTTTGTGTATGATAAGTGAGACTAGACTCGGAAAAAGGATGAAAAAAGCTGATATTTTTGGCTCCACCTGCTGAAAACTAGTGTCCAGTCCAGTAGAAGTGTTCCAGCGTCCACACAGGCTACCGGCTCTGATCACCACTAAACACTGCCACACTCTGAGCTAACTGCCACGATGAGCTATAAGCTAATAATGAACTTATTTCTGACTGACCAGACCGTCGGAGCGCTTTGGTGACGGAAGTTTTGATGAAGCTCGATTTAATTTCTGTACAGTTGATTTAAGATGCTGTTGTGGGTGGTTTGATTACTTTCGCTCACTTAAAGCGATAGTTTGGGGACCCAGTCCACCCCCTCACCCCAAACTGGTGTCTGAAATTTGCTTCTTTAGCTTTGGACTGGAGCTTTGAGGCTAATGCAGCTATCACCCGATGGAAACTTCTACACCCACCAATTAGCATTGTGCTAACTGCATGCCTAAGTCATTATACACTCTCCTCAAACTGGAGCTATGAGGCTAGCAGCTAGCAAGTAATGGAAGCTTATACTCCACCATTTAGCATCATGCTAACTGTATGCCTGAACCATCACACACTTGCCTCAAACTGGAGCTACAAGGCTAATGTAGCGAACCGGTAATGGAAGCTTATACCCAACCATTTAGCATTGTGCTAACTGCATGTCTAAATTTCACACACTTGCTCAAACTGGAGCTACAGTGCTAATGTATTTGGCAAGTAAAGGAAGCTTATACCCCACTAGTTAGCATTGTGCTAACTGCATGTCTAAATTAACACACACTTACTCAGACTGGAGCTGTGAGGCAAATGTAGCGAACCGGTAATGGAAGCTTATACCTCACCAATTAGCACATTGCTAACCACACACCTAAATTATCACACACCTGCCTAAAACTGGAGCTATGGGGCTAGTAGCTAGTAAGTAATGGAAGCTTATACCCCACCATTTAGCATCATGCTAACTGCATGCCTAAATCATTATACACTTGCCTCAAACTGGAGCTACAATGCTAATGTATTTGGCAAGTAATGGAAGCTTGTCTTCCACTAGTTAGCATTGTGCTAACTGCATGTCTAAATTAACACACACTAACTCAGACTGGAGCTGTGAGGCAAATGTAGCGAACCGGTAATGGAAGCTTATACCCCACCAATTAGCATTGTGCTAACTGCATGTCTAAATACAGTCACAGATAGGCTCATGTTTCTAAGTGGTTACTCTACAGCTTGATGCGAGTGAGGCACGATGATAACTGGTGGGGTAAAAGCTTCCATTACTTGTTAGCTCCATTAGCCTCGTAGCTCCGGTGCCAAACTAAAGAAGCAAACTTGGCTGATCGACTGCATTTGGGGTGACTTGGGTGCGTTTTATTTTTCACCAAACCTTCACTTTAATCGTGAAAAATTCAATATGTAAAACTTTCTCTTTCTTTCTTCTCACATATTTCACACGTATCTGTATGCTTCAATGCAAATATCACTGATGCAGAAATCACTGGTAGTTAATTGCAACAGTTTCTATAGCAACGATCCGCAGTTTGATGTTTTACAGAGGGCTACATTAGAGAGAGTTCACCCAGTATTACACTGCCTGTCTGAAGTCTGGGGCTCACCTAGTGTTCTTATCAAATATTAATTTTCAGTGAAATAAAAAGAATTATGTGCTATGTGCTAATGCATCGTGTATAGTGAAGGAAAGTGGTCAGAGCACCCCCTGCTGTTTGTGTTCAAAACTTAGGTTAACAATGAATTAGAGACGCTCCACATTACAGTCTGTACAGCATAACGAATGATTGACTGACAGTAAAAGACAGAAATAGTGTTTACAAACATTCGCTTACAAGAAAAAGTTGCGTGCATTTAATGTACATTTAAACCACATGTGAACAACACACCTAACATAATTTGAATAATATGTGAACACGTGACACGTCATGTCCTGAAACGGCACACGTGATCACACTTTTTCTCACGCGAAAACGCTGTTCGCATATTTTTGAGTGTAGCAACACGTGAGCTGTCTAAAATTCATGATTATTTACAGGTGAAATTCATGTTTTTTCTGTAAGCATTTCCCCAAAAAAGGAGATGTTTTTTATGAACTGTTTTACATATGATCCAATTTTTAAAAACATGATCACACTTTTTTCAGAAAAATGTGTGGTATCAAAAAACGTGATTATTCAAACGTGAGATTTGTGTGAATTTTTTCACCCCTCCCCCCAAGTGATTGTGATCGCACAGTTTTGTACATGATAACGCTTTTTCACTTGATCAGTTTTTTTATTTGATCAGTTTTTTCATGTGTGATCAAAAGGTTTTCACACTTTTTTGTAAAAAAAATTGTGTATTTTCTAAAAATCACATGATTATTCAAACGTGAGGTTCATGTGTGTCTTTGTGAGGGTTTCCCCAAAACAGACTACAAACTCCATTGTGCTGATGACATCAGTCGACATCACTGATTGTGTTTGTGCTGCACTTGTGTTGCAAAATGACTTTTTGATGGAATTTCCAGCTCCATCTTTTTTTAATCTGTTACGGAGAGACGAAAGGAGCGTCAAAATACTTTAAACACTACCAGCAGGTGGCGCCGGTCTGCACTCTCCCTCTGCATGTTTACCTTCAGTGCTCAGCAATACGCCTTCATGAATCTCACGTTTGAATAATCACGTGAATTTTTGATACTACACATTTTTCTGAAAAAGGTGTGAAAAAACGTGTGATCTCATTTTTAAAAAATTGGATCACGTGTAAAACGTTAAAAAGTTCGTAATAAACGTCTCTGTTTTTGGGGAAACGCTTACAGAACAAAAAGACATGAATTTCACCTGTGAAAGAATTTTTAGACAAGAAAAATCTTCGTTGTTTTCCTATGTGGGCTACGTTGCATTTTACCACGTACCACAAACGACGTGAGATACATTTAGACTTTGTATTAACTGTGATTTAGTTTAATCCACTCAGAGGAGCAAAATGGAGGAAAAAACGTCAAACCAAGTGTTTAAAAACTAACAGTTTTAAAAAATAAATTTTAATTTAACTCTCACAGCCTAAGACAGTGTGAGGATATCGAAAGGTTAAGAAAACATAATATTTCCAAGAAATCACTTGTTCTTTAAATCATTCTTATAAAAAAACAACAAGAGGATGAAGTGGGCGTGGCCTTATCTCCATACCTTCATCTGTGATATAGTTTTCTTGTAAACACACTTTAATGTGGTCTTTATAGCGAAACTGACTCATTTGTATTAAAAACGACTTGGAAAGCTGGGTGTCCCCAAACTTTTGATGAGCAGTGCACATACGACCTGCATGAGAAATGTACCGAACCCTTTAACCTTAAATCAGATATATGATTGATAATTGATTGTAAAAATGATTCTGATCAATATTGATCACCCCCCCCCATACCACCCCCCCCCTTTGTTTACCCTCCCTGTTTTGCTGCTACTGCGTTCTAAAGCACTTTCACTGTGTGGTTATTTCCTCTTTTCTGGAGTGGATGGAGAGATTCCTGTTTTAAAGGATAAATGATAAATGATAGATGAAGATGATGAAGAGATTTTTAGGACTTGGCATGGCCCGGCTCATGGTTTTGAGTTTCTCGCAGCCCTGATCCTTGACCCCTGTAGATATATATAGTTGACCCGCCCCCTGCTGACCCGCTTTCAGTTCAGTCCACATACAGAGATCTAATCTGGAGAGTTTGAAACTGGATGAAGGATTTTGTTTTTTTATATATTTCATATAGATTGAATCTGCTTGTGTTGATTCAGTGACCAAATGATGTGCAGCTACTGTCTCTCTCTCTCTCTCTCTCTCTCTCTCTCTCTCTCTGTTTGTCTACCTACGTTGTGGCATGACTATAAACAGAACGACAATGAAGAAAGACTTTAAAATGCACAAAACAACACGAGGATTTAGAAATAAACATTCCACACAGAACCTGCTAGAAGTTGCAGCAGTTTGATTCGGTTATGAAACTTTAGGAAGTGATTCGATTGTCTTGTCATTAAATTTGATTTTGACTCTTTAGAAATTAATTCTAGTGTAACATCGATTCGATTTGTTTTCACTTTTTTTGGAAGTGATTCAGTTGTACCATTATTCATTTTGATTATGATTCATTATGAAATGATTCAGTTGAACTATTAGTTTAATTACAATTCTTTACAAAATGATTCAGTTGAACCATGACTTTGATTTGATTCCAGTTCTTTAGGAAATGATTCAGTTGCAACATGATTCAATCTGATTCCTATTCTTTAGGGTATGATTCAACTATAGAGTAATTCAATTTGATTATGATTCTTTAGAAACTGATTCAGTTTACTAGGATTTCAGTTTGATTACAGTTTTAGGAAATGATTCATTGGGACCACGGCTTCAAATTGATTCCAGTACTTTAGTAAATTATTAAATTGCAACATTTTTCATTTTGATTCAGATTTTTAGGGATTGATTCGATTGTGCCATGGCTTTAATTTTATTCCAAATCTTTAGGAACTGATCCTCAATTTGATGTTGATTCTTTAGGAAATGAGTTCAGTTGTAACATTTTTCAATCTGATTCCGATTTTCAAGGATTCAGTTGTACCATGACTTTAATTTTATTTCAATTCTTTAGCAACTGATTTAGTTGTACCGTTATCCAATTTGATTTGATTCTTTAGGAAATGAGTTCATTGTGCCATGACTTCAATTTGATTCAGATTCTTTAGGAAACAATTCTGTGCATCATGAAATCTCAAATTTCACTATGATTTGATTCAGAATTGTTATTAAACATACACTGAATACACAAATATAACTGGAGGAACTGTATAGACTTTGTGCTTTTACATTTGAAAATAGCCCAAGAATGTTATGTTGGTGAAAAAGAGCAGGTGTTGTACTGAATTTTGTTCTAATCAATTATAATCTATCATAACTTTCCAAAACTGATGCAGTTGAATCAGCACCTTCAGGCTGACCCATTTCTCCGCTAATCATGCAGAAGGAAAACTCACTGACCGCAGCTGTGATGATAATGAACAGTGCTTCTGCAATCGGAGAGTTTTGGTCAGTGAAAAGCCGTTGAGCTGTTGGACGCCCCCAAGACAATCCAGCCAATCAGCTTTGAGGGGTGTTATAGCGTTGAAGTCAGGACCAATCAGAGCCTTCCTCTCTGACCTTTAATATGTGCAGCCAAATGCTTTTAATATTCAAATTTAGTCAACAATAAATAATATTCACTTGATTCACTCATCACAATTTAGCAGATTGAAAATGAGAGTTTATAAATCAGCAGGTCGTGACGATTTACTGCCTTTGGATAAACGTATATTTAAAAGACTTTTATTGTGGAAGTCGTAGCACTGAGCTGCTGTTTGAATTCATTATTTTTTGTGATGTCACAAGCATGAACGCATTAGCATATGACCAAATGTTCCTAATTCACAGTGAAGTTATAAAGAGTGTTTCAGCTCAGACTGCGTTGTGAATGAGGCCAAATGCAGGCCCAATCAGAGCAGAGCTCATTTACATATCTTACATGTCTTAAAGGCACCTGAACGAAAACAGGGATTAAAAAAGGCTGAAAAATGGTCATGTTAACATAAATTACGACTAGTACAGAAAAAAACAGATAAAAAAAATCAAAAATGCTGAATGTGGACCCTTTAATGAAGTTCCTTAAAGGGTCTCTATGAAAAACCCCCTTCTGATGACAAACTTTTGAGAAACTATGCCTGCTTTGTGGGGGATTTCTAACAGCCCACCCCCAAAAGCGGCTGTAGTTTTACCACCTTCAGGTTACATCATAACAAAGGGGGTTCTCCTCATCAGGCTGAGTGACCCTTTAAAGGACCACTCCACGGATTTTTCGAACTAACCTCAGTTTGCTGCATCTGGTTGATTAGCACCGGCAAAAATGTCCATTTATTTAGAAAAGAACAGAAGTGCCGACATGCAAAAGAGCTTTATAGTGGATACTAAGGGTGGGCGATACGGCAAAAACATGTTTGATCATGATACTTAGTCTAGTTTTTCTGACACATAAGAAGTTTGGACAGACGAAAAACCTGCAAGTGCCACATATAAAAACACTATTATAATAATAATACGTGATAATAATAATAATTACAAGTGATTTTTGTTCAATGTTTTACAAACCGCGCTGCACTAAATCCACTTAAACAGCCCTCTCTTTGTAATCAAACATGTAGTTGGTCAGTGTTATTTAAGAACTGACGATATCAACGACATAATTTATCAGATAACGATAAATATCATCATATCGCCCACCTTAGTGGAAGCCAACGGGAAGATTCAGCATCTGCCCATTGAATTCAATATAACCGAGTTTGGAGTCAACAGGTTTTCTGATCTTTTCTGAGTGCAGAAAGACATATTTAAGTTATGGTGAGTGGTGATTGACTGCACACTACAGACGCAGCAAATAAAGGTTAGGTTGAAAATACACTGACGTATTCCTTTAATTACTCCAACCAGAAAAATACAGAACACATACAGACTAGAGATGCAGCTCAGTCACTAGTCACTGTATTAGTGGAGTCACAGCACAGCACCATCACCACAAAACTCACTCTCTCTTTCTTTATTTCCTTCTTTCTTTATTCCTTCTTTTAATGTGAAGGTGTGCTGAATGAAAAACAAACAAACAAACAAAAAAAAACTACTAAATAAACATACTGAGTTAGTATGGTGAGTGTCTGTTGTTAAGGTTCAGGTGTGTTTTTGTTTAGTTCTTTTTGTTATGGTTCTGAGTTTATTCTCATTTACTCTTATCGATTAATACGCACTCTGGTGAACAGTTAGTACTTGAATTTTCTGTTTAATAAAGTTTTTTGGAGTTTAGCGCTGCCTCCTGACTCTTATTTTGTCAAAAGTCAAGGATAAACTGAATGTGAAAGATTGAAACACTGATAAAAGAGTAAATTTTTCCTCACAAATGTACTGTAGAATAAGCACCTTAAAGGGGAACTCCACCAATTACTCAAAATTTCTACATAATTAACTGGTTGAGATGTAAACAGAGTCATTAAGAGTGGTTTGGTGTGAAATGCTCAGAATTGTTCACAGTGGTGGTGATAGGAACCAGACGTCCACCTCTAAAAGCTCCCTCACAGAAAGTTACTACATGAAATGGTTCTGAATTCACTGCTTGATGTCTGAGACACTGATTTATGATAGTTTTGGGGTAAAGTTTTGGCTTAAAATGTATTTTAATCAAATGGGGCAAAATAGTCCCCAAAGAAAACTTATTATTTCAGATTTTCCACTATTTTTCCATCAACATTCCGTATAAACTCAGAAGACTCGTGTAGGTTCACTGGTGGTTTTGGATAGTAAATAAAATGTCTATATTTGTGTTGTAGTCATGGCGACTACACCACTACTGTAAAGACATCTGAACCATTTCACACCAAACCACTCTGAATCTCTCTGTTTACATCTCAAACACTGAATTATACAGAATAATTTTTAAATAAATGGAACTCTCCCCTTTTACCAAACACTAGTTGTTGTGGACATGCAGTGTTACCGCTTTCCACCACCAGGTGGAGCGCTAGAGACAACCACAGCCTGATGAGCAGCGTAGCGGAGGAGGAACAGCGGGAATGGAGGAGGAGAAAGAAAGAGCAGAAGCGGAGAGGAAAAGAGAGAAAGTTGTGGGGAGTGAGAGGAAAAGAGGCAGGACGGACGGAGCACAGTCTGCACACTGAAGAGTGAGGATTCGCAAACTTTCTGCTTTCAAAACGGAGCGCAGTTTCATTTACTGAATCACACCAGCGCTCAGACAGACAGACAGACAGACAGACATGAGCTGTGATAGAAGACCTGAGACTTTTACTGGGAGTCTGTGAACATTTTCCCAACGATGGACAAACAAAAAGGTCAGTTTAAAAGCTCCAGCTTCCTCCACTGCTTCACTTCAGCTTTGGGATTAAAAGGGCTTAAAGTTAATTGATAAAAACTAATCAATAACAACACCGCGCGCTGTTTCATTCACTGTACAGCACTGAGCTACAGTGTGTGTACAAAGATACACCATTTACTAGAATGAGAGACAGCAGACTGAGATATACCATCCACTCCTCAAACAGATGGTTCTTTAAGGGCTCTTTAGTAAAGGGGAATGGTTCTATGGTTCTGTTTAGAACTATTTGCATACTTAAATGGTTCTTTGCATGGTGAAATGATTCTTCAGATTGATGGAAAATGTGTTCTATATAAAACCTTTTTGAAAAATGTTCCATATAGCACCAAATAGGTTCTTCTATTGTCACAGGCTTGACATGGTAACATCAGCAGGACCCTTTTTGGTGCTGTAGAGCCATTTACAGCACTATTCTCACTATCAGTCTGGAGAACCATCTCTCCATGTAGAAGCATGCAAATGGTTCTGTATTGAACTCATGGTTCTAAACAGAACCATTCTCTTTACTAAAGAACACTTGAAGAACTATCTTTTTGAGTGTGTATCAGAATGAGATGTGGAATATATTCACACACATATATATTAGTGTAAGTGCTAGCATATTTACATATATATATATATATATATATATATATATATATATATATATATATATAAGTATAACTTTATAAATGATATATAATAATACAATCGTGTCATGTTAGCCTGAGTAGATTATGTTAGCATAATATAATAAGAAATACTGTGTATCAGCATGACATATAGAAAATATATTACGGTATACTGTATATATATATATTATATATATATATATATATATATATATATATATATATATATATATCACATATAGCATATGTAGTAAGATATAACAAATATTTGTGTGAGCAATAGCAATACTGCATATACTAATATATGCCCTGTATTTACATGAGGTAACATATATACTAAAGTATGTCATATATTAGCATATAAGATTGCATATGTACTGAGATATACCATACTAGAATCAGAGACAGCATATATTATAATATGCTGTATATTAGTATAATATAAAGTATATATACACATATTCCATATATTAGTGTGAGCGATAGCTCATATACTAAGGTATACCATGTAATAACATGACAAACAGTATATATACTAAAGTTTGTCATATGATATGATAACATCTTCACTAAGATATCCTGTATAAATATGAGATAACATATATACTAAGAAATACCATATATATCAATAAGAGATAAAGAATATATACCACATTTTAGTGTTAGAGATGGCATATATAGTAAGACATAGCATATTTATGTGAGCAGTAGCAACACTGCATAGAGATTCCATATATCATTATGAGATATATATATACTAAAATATATCATATATTAGCATGAAAGACTGCATAAACTGAGGTATACCATATAGTAGAGTAAGAGACAGTATATACTAACGTATGGTATATATTAGTATGAGATATCGTACACTTACAGATACATACCATATATTAGTGAAAGCAATAGTGCATAAGTGAAGGTATTCCACATAATAATATGAGAATTAGTACATATATACTAAAGTGTGTCATGTTATGATGGCATATTTACTAAGATATACTGTATATTAGTATGAGAGATGGCATATATACTTAGAAATACCATATATATCAGCATGAGATACAGATTACATGCAAATATATACTACATATTAGCATGAGAAAAGCATATATAGTAAGATATATGTGTAAGCAGTAGCAACACTATATACACAAATATTGCATATATCAGTACCCTATATTAGCCTGAGAGATGCATGTGTACTAAGAAATGCCATACATACCAGTATAAGATGTGATATACATACAAATATATGCCACATAGTTGCATGATATATAGTAAGATATAGATATAAGCAAAAGTACTACTACATACACTAAGATGTTCTGTATATTAGTATGAGAGATAGCATATATAATAAGGTATGCCATATATTAGTATGAAAGATATATGAAAATAGCATTTCTGCCCACCGTGTCATTGTGATTAAGCTGTTTTTAGTTTAGAGCCTGAGGACGATTAGGACTACATCAGGGTTTAGGTAGAGAAGCCTTTAGTCAAAGTGTTGTTACTTCAAAGCAGTGACTCAAGCAGGAATAACAGTAGCTACCAAACACATGAGTCAAGAACTCTGAGGTCCAGAAACCCCTGGAGTGGTGAGTTCTCCTCTAGAACTGCAGTGGAACCTTTTAGTCCATCCAGCGGAACCGAAGACTGTACGAGTCTCTTCTTCTCTCTTGGGATCCTAGGTTCCATTTTTCTGCTGTAGAACACCTACTAAATTACCCAAACTGATGAGTTGAATTAGTTTGAGTAGGAAAATCACCAAATTGTTCTGGTTTTCAGCCCTCCATGACCACAACTGGGCCCACTGACCCAATACAGTGGCCACTGGGATTCACTACATGACCTTGTTTTCTAGAACCCTGCCCTTTTCATTGACCCAATAATGAATAAAATAATTGACTTAATAATTAAAAAGAAATATAAAACGTTTAACAGTTGACAACATTAATACAAGCCCCACAATAACAGTGCACAAAGGCGGCTTCGTCAATTTTTGCCCTTTGCCTCTAGAAACACCTGACCTTTCAGTTGTCCACTCACACCAGTATTTTGCTTATATTTCATGTTCACTGATAAACGTCACATATTGCAAGAGTAGGTCCCACATATCACTGGCCGGTTTTCTGCTATTTAGCCAAAAGTTCTCGGGGAAATATTGGACATTCCACGCTGGTCTGGACTCGTGAGACCGGTTACGGTTTCTGTGCCCATCTATTGTGCCGCTAAATCAGAACCAGGAAATTCCTCCTCTAACTCCAAGTCCAGTCTCTCGTTATGCCCTCATCTTCTTTGTCCTCTAAATGGGGTTATTTGAGCATCTGTTACTCAAACAGCCTGTACTGTGGTGTGTTTCACATTAGTGTTAGCATTAATGTCGTCCGGCAGGGTCCAGCTCAAAGCACCACTGAACTGTTCTGTTTTTTTATCTTTCTGTCGCTTCAACACCAGTCATTCGAATTTGTGCTCTCAGATATAAGTCTTTATCCTCTAAACTGGTGTTTTCAATCATCGGTTTGCTAGAACCGGGCCCGTACTGCAGCGAGAGGCACTGCGCACTCACGTTAGCTTAGCCTACAGCTTAAAGCTCAAACTGAACAGATTCGACTTCAACTTTTTGTCACTTCAACACAGATCAGTCGACTTTGCTCTCACTGTTGTATGTTTTTATCATATATACTTGTGATAGCAGAGCAGTTAGTCCAGTCAAGCCTGCACTGGGTCCTAAGTTAACTAGGAGAGAGGAGCTGGCTAACATTAGCTTAGCTAGGAGGCTCCAGACACGATAGAAGAGGTTAATTTCGGCTTTCTGTTGCTCTAACATCAACCGCTCGACTTCGCTTTCTCAGATATGAGTCATTATCATCTAAATTGGTGTCAGTGAAGCTTCTGTTAGTCAGAATCGAACCTGCTCTGTGGTGAGCAGTGCTGGCAGCATGCAAGCTAAGCTAATGCTAACCAGTTACTCTCCCTTGGTTCTTTAGAAACTGGTTTGAGATTGAAGCTTTGACGTTAATTGAACGGTGAGTTTAAAACGGTGCACTGCTTTCATTTATTTGCCGTCCGTGTGAGCGAAATGAACTTAATTGATTGTTTTTGGATTTGAAATGCGGTGGCACAATACCGACATAAACAAAGAACCAGTCAGCGAGTAGCTATGTCGTTACGTCATCCCACGGAGCGGTTCTGTGGCCCCGAGTACGGTTAGCAGTTACCCTCCATGCTCAGAACCGTCTGGCCCTGCAGTGGAAAAGAGGCCACTGTGTTGAAAATCTTCCCAAAATTACATTTTTAAGCAG